CTCTATCTCATTCTCTCTCTCAAATAAATAAATAAAATATTAAAAAAATAAGGTAATAAGGAGCAGAGTGTCACCTGCTCCATTAATGCCAGCCTGCTCGGCCCCTTACCCTCATCTTGCCCCTACCCACAGCCCAACCCCTCTCCCGCTCTCTCCAGCACCCACCTCCCCTGCACACTGTGCCCTGGGCCTCACTCCACTGGGGTCTCCTTGGCATCTGACTCCCCTTGGCTCATGCCTTTGCTCCCAAACAGCTCAGAACTCCCTTCCCCTATCAGAAACCTGGAGTCTTCCTGGATCTCCTCCTGCCCCCAGCAGCCATCAGACTCAGAGCGTCCGACTGAGTTCCTCCTGGGTTCCCCACACCTGCAGCCCCACCAGGCTGGCTTGGGTCCCACCGCAGCCCCGTCGCCTCTCCCCTGAGTCACCGTGTCCCTCCTGGGCTCCCTGCCTCCCTGCCCAGTCCATTCCTCACAGGGGCCAGGCCGAGCCTTCCGCTGCACATCTGATGGTGTAGGCCTTAGCTTCACCGGGCAACAGCCCTCTCTACCCCCGGGCCGAGCCCCTGGCTTCTGAGTTGCTTCTGCTGCTCCATCTCACGACTCCCTCCCTCACTCAGAGGCTCTCACACAGAATCCTCTCTGTCGCTCTCATGGGCCACGAGTTGCCTAGTTTCCAGTCCCTGGCACCAGCTGTGACGTGGATCTGACTCTGTCACCAAGCGAACGCCTGCCCAATCTCAGGTGTCAGCTGCCCCGTGGACACCCCTGGGCAGGCTGGCTTAGGCATGCTGCCCAGTCTTGGCCTGGTCCCAGGGCTTCCTGTCACACGCACATGCTCCTTTGCCTGATTGCTGGTTCACGGCCTGTCTCCCCACGCCCGGGAGCCCCATTACGATAAGAACTTCTCTCTCTGCCACGATCAGGCTCGCCCCAGTGAACTCCCACAGTGCTTGGCTCAGGGCACCCAATCTTGTTGACCCATGGGAATCAGAAGCCTGATAGCACCCAAACCACGAGGCCTGGAGGTGTTTCGGTCAGGATGCTACATCCTGAGCCCCCTCTGTCTTCTCCCCCAGCCTCCAGTGAACTACAGGGAGGCAAAGCCTCTGGGACGAATCAGGGATGCCAGTACAACTCTCTCCAACAAATTCTAAGAAAGCGTCCAATTCCCTTGTCGTGACGAGCTCTGCTACTCAAAGTGTGGTCCTTGGACCAGAGGCATCAGCATCGCATCAGGGATGTAGAAACTCTGGCCCCAGCCCACGACTGTGGCATCTGAAACTGCCCTGGTAATTACCAAGATCCTCAGGCCATGTGAAGTGTAAAAGAGACGTGCTGCCGAGAATATGTGTTTTCATGCACGTGGTAATAAAGGGAGAGTCCTGCAGGGCCGTCTTCCCCAGGGGGCCCTGTCTCAGCCCCACTCACCGGTCACGCCCACGGTGGACACGGGGCCCACGCGCTGTCCCCTGTGCAGGCCGTACAGGTGCATCTTGTACTTGCGCCCCGGCTCCAGGCTCCCGACGGTGACCTCACTCTCGTCACCCCCGACACGCACCACCTGGGGCCGCCCGTCCCTGTCCTTGTACTGGACAGTGAAGGAGTCGAAGTGGCCCTGGGGGACGGTCCAGGAGAGGCTCAGCGAGTCTGGGGAGGATCCTGTGACCGTCAGCTCTCCCAGGAGGGGCTCCTCGGGGGGCTCCGGGGCCTCCGTGCTGGGTTCTGTGGGGCTGGGGGTCTCCTCCACCTCAGTGGGGGTTGGGGTCTCTTCCTCTGCAGCTGAGAAGGACAGACACAGAGAAGGTGAGGCAGGATCCCCAGCAGATGTCCTCAGGTCTTGGGAGAAGGATGGAGAAGCTGTGATCATGTCTGGGGGCCCCCAAATTCAGCTCAGAGAAGCCCATCCTTGGGGCTGGGTGGGCTTGCTCAGCTGCATCTCACAAACATGCCTGGGAGCCTTGAGGGTCTGCTGTGGGGAACCCTGGACAGTCCCCAGCACCGCTCATGGAGGCCCTTCTCTGCAGGGGAGGACCCCTCAGGCCTCAGGGAGCCCCGGGAGGGGGGTGGGGAGGCACAAAGGGCACCACGGTTCAGCCTCGAGCACAGGGGCCTCCTGCACCCCACTCACCCATCACCTGGGAGAGGGAGACCCTCCCGCTGGCCTCACCCTGGGGCTTCCAGCATCCACTCACCTGTCACCCCAATGGCAGACACCGGGCCCACGCGCTGGCCACCGTGGAAGCCGTACAGGTTCATCTTGTACTTGTGGTCTGGCTGCAGGCCTGAGACGGTGACCCCATCCTCATAGCCCGGTACACGCACCGCCTTGGGCTGCCCGTCCCCGTTCTTGTACTGGACCAGGAAGTGGTCAAACTGGCCCTCGGGGACAGTCCAGGAGAGGTGCAGGGAGTCGGGAGTGGCGTCGGTCACGGTCAGCTCCCCCAGGCGGGGCTTGGTGGGAGGCTCTGAAGGTCCGTCTTCCTCTTCCCTTGGGACTGAAGAGAGATGTGAGAGAGAAAGACCTGGGGTGGGGGCAGGGTGACCATGAGGACTTGCTCTCTTCTGGGCTCTCACAGCCACTTTGGGGAAGCAGATACGGTGCAGTTCTCCTTGCTCACCTGTCAGTGCCTCAATGTGGGCTGGACCCACTCGCTGCTGGCCGTGGAAACCATACAGGTTCACTAGGTATCTGTGCTCAGATTCCAGGCCAGAGAGGATGACGTCATTCCGGTCACCATCGATCCTGACTACTTGGGGTTGCCCGTCTCGGTCTGTGTAGTGGACCTCGAAGGAGTCAAAATCGCCCTCAGTCTTGGTCCAGGAGAGATGCAAAGTATGTGGTGTGGCTTCCTCCACAGTCACCTCCCCTAGGCGAGGCTCAGGCTCTGGAGTACTTGGGGCCTTGGCTTTGATATGTACCCTGGGGGCTGGTTCAGAGAGACAGGTAGAGATGGGTGATTGGTCTGTCTCCACAAGGCTCTCCAAGGACAGGGAAGGAGGGGAAGAGGTGAAGGCTAGAGGTCAGTAATAAAAAGGACCAACTATGGAACAGGGGCATTATGGTAAGTGTTAGAAACCAAGCACTGAGTACGTATTGTAGGATTCAGCTAAGTGAGAGGCTTACAAAGGCAAAACTGTAAGGAAAGGAATTAGTGGCTGACAGAAGCTGGGATTGGGGGAGTTGACTGCAAAGGGGCACGGGAAAACAGGTTGTGGGGTCAACGGAAATGTTTTATGTCTCACTTGTGGTAATGGTTTCATGACTTACATATTTACCAAAACTCATTGTTCACATAAAATTTTCCGTGAATTATGCCTCGATAAGGCTACCCCCGCCAAAGTAGGGAAGTAGGAAGCTCAGAACCCCCCTGGCTCGGACAGAGCCGCAGAGCCGCAGCTGGAAGGAGGGCGGCGTGTTCTGGCCACAGCCTCACTCACCAGTCAGGGCGATGGTAGAGACGGGGCCCACGCGCTTGCCCTGGTGCAGCCCGTACAGGAACAGCTTATACCTGCGGGCTGGGTCCAGGCCTGAGACGCTGACCTCCCTGAGGCCGCCCTCCACGGGGACCACCTGGGGCTGCCCGGCCCTGTCCTTGTACTGGACCACAAAGGAGTCAAACTGGCCCTCAGGGACCGTCCACGCGAGGCTCACAGAGTCTGGTGTCACGCTGGTCACCTGTAGCTCCTCCCCAAGATGGGGCTTTGGGGGATGCTTTGTTCTAGCATCATCCACACCACTCCAGGGCTCTGAGAGGGAGACAGAGAGGGGGCAGCTGAGCTGTTTCTGGTAGTCTGGGTGACCTCAAAGGGCAGGACTGAGAGGTCTGGGGACAGGGCTTTGCCACGGCTGAGTCCTACAGGGCCAGCGCTATGGGACTGCGTGAGGAGAATAACTACCGTGATGGCAGCCCGCACGAGTGGCCACCTGTTTCCCTGGCCCGGCTGGGTGCTGCTGCCGTGCCCGGGGGAGCTCCAGGAGCAGAGCCTGGCCCTGCACGGACGCTCTCACCTGTGGTGCCTTCAGCAGTGAGGGGGCCATGGCGCTTCTTGCCCAGGAGCCCATAAAGGAGGAATCTATACTTGCGGCCAGTGTCCAGAGGGGTGATGGTGACCGAGCGCTCGTGGCCCTCCACGGGAACCACCCGGGGCCCATCCTTGTCCTTGAACTGGACCACAAAGGAGTCAAAGTGGCCCTCAGGGACTGTCCAGGAGAGGCGCAGAGAGTCCAGGGTGGGATCTGTCACCCACAGCTCCCCAAGGCGGGGTGGGGCCCCGAGGCTGGCGTCACCTTGGGCAGCTGACAGAGAGGAAAGATTCTTGTGTTTATTTTTTTTTCCAGAATGACTCTTTGACTGCTTCCTACTAGGACTGGAAAAACCCAGGACTGCCCAAATGATCAGTGCTTCCCCAAAATATTTCCATCACCCTCCCATCTCTGCCACCATCCCAACTGGCCCATGCCTCCCTCCACTTAGCCAATGTGACATCTCTGGGAAAAAAGAATCCCTAGCTTCCTGCTTATCTTATTCCTCCTGCTGTCCAGACTCTTCCCACCCATTAGAGACTATTTTCCTATCAGGGTGCAGCTTGGTTTACTTATTTCCTTCTACCAAGGAGCCTACCCTTTGTGATTTCTGTGGCCCTTGGGGAAACCTGAGGGTCCTGGGGACATCAGAGGGGGCAAAGGATCCCTGATGAGTGTAGACAGCAGAGGAGAAAGTGGGATGTTATGATGGAGGTGGCCCTCATAGGGCCCGGGGCAGGAGTGGGGGCTGCCTACTTGGTGGCGGGGGGAGGAGGAGGGGAGCTCACTTGGGACAAAGAATCCGGTGTCTGCCCCAGAGCCATCCTGAGGCCTGAGAAGGAGCTGGCCTGCTGCCTTCTTGGCCAGGGAGGACGCTGACAGCATTGTTATTGCTAGAGTTTTCTGGCACCAGGGAGCCCCCAGGGGCAGGGGAGGGCCTAGACTGAAAGCCAGGAAAGGGGCACAGCTGGGCTGGGCCCGAACGCGCCTGGCTGGGCAGCTAGCCCTGGGCTCCTCTACTTCCCAGTTTCCGAGGCTCCGGGAAGAGGGCACAGGAGGAAAAGGGCCCTCTGGGGGAGGCAGAGAGGGCACCCAGTGGGCCTGAGCCAGTAGGATAAGAAAGTGGGTGATGGCAAAACTCTCAGGAGGTGAGGGCTGCACAAGGCTGAGGGCTGCAAGGCCCAGGCAGGCGGAAAGGGCTCCTGACTCCCTTCGCCCTCCCCCAGCACCCCCATCTCCCATGTCCCACCTTCCAGGAAGGGTCCTGAAGGGGCTTCCCCCATTCAATGGCAGTGGAAATTATGAGAAGAGAGGAAAAGTCAGTGGGGGACACAGACCCAGGACCTGGCCCTGCTTTCCTGGTTCTCATTTGCCTTGAACTGGGGGCGGGCAGTGTGGCTTTTCAAACGTAATAGAAGAGGTGGACACAGGGAAGACCAGTAGAAGGAAAGAGACTAAGCAGTGTGAAGAGGGTGGGCAGGCTGCTGGGGGCCTGGGGGGCTCTCACCTGTCTTTGCCTCCACAGAGACTGGGCTGCGTCTCTTCCCACCTTGAAGCCCGTAGAGCAGGAACCTGTACTTCCTGCTGGGCTCCAGGCCGGGGACGGTGACCTCGCGCTGGTCTGCGGCCACAGGCACCACCCGGGGCTGCCCGTCCCTGTCCTTGTACTGGACCACGAAGGAGTCGAATTCACCCTCGGGGACCGTCCACGAGAGGGTCACGGAGTCCGGGCTCCGGTCCACCACTGTCAGCTCCCCCAGCCGTGGCTCTTCAGGGGACTCTGTGGCTGGGGCTTGGGGGAGGGGAGCTAGGACCCAGGAAAACATAGAACATGGCTGAGATCTTGGGCAGGAGAACCCCCCCCCCCACCCTGAAGGGCTCCTGGGCTCCCAGGGCCTCAAGGGGGCCTTGAAATAAGATGAGACACAGTCACATCTATATTTTCCCTGCCTCTAACTGGAAGGTAGATTTCCTTGGGTGCTCACTGCGGTGCCAGTGTATCTGGGACCATTTTCGTGTCACCTTAGAATGCGCGGACTCCAAAATACCGTTTACACTCATCCGTACTTCAGAATGTGTGTAGGTTATGACACATGCCCCTAAGTCTCGTTATTTAATGAACTGATAAAGAAGTTCCTGTATTACCAAATCATAAATTTGAATTAAAAATATTTGGGAGGGTGCCTGGATGGCTCAGTCGTTAAGCGTCTGCCTTCGGCTCAGGTCATGATCTCAGGGTCCTGGGATCAGGCCCCGCATCAGGCTCCCTGCTCGGCAGGAAGCCTGCTTCTCCCTCTCCCACTCCCCCTGCTTGTGTTCCTGCTCTCGCTGTGTCTCTCTCTGTCAAATAAATAAATAAAATCTTTAAAAAAATATTTTGATAATTGAATATCAAATAAATTGGTTTCCTCTGTAACCCTATGCATTTATGTTATAGATTTTAAAGCCCTGCTCTGAGAGGGGTCCATGGGTTTCATCAGATACTATGGCAGAAAAATGGCGGCAACCTGTCCCCCGGGACCCAAGAGTAAGGGCCACTTCTAGGAGAAAGGAAGGCTATAGCACTCAGGGCACTAAAGGCCTCTGAGAAGAGATTCAAGGGATGTGTGTCATTGAAGCCCAACTAAAAAAGAACATCAGTGGAAGGTGGCGGCTGTGGCCAAGTCACAGCAGGGTTTTGAGAGAAAGGAGGGGAACAGCTGTGGACAATCAGGGGAGACAGACAGAGTCAGATTTAGGTCAGATGGAAGCAAGACATTCCTGCCTGAGGGAGAGGGCAGAATGGAGAGGAACTGGAGGGCAGGGAAGATTCTAGCCTGGGGAAGAAGCCAAGGGGTCAGGGAACAGACTATGGTGCCCGTGACCTCAAGAAGGACTTACAGAGGCCACCGAGGCAGGACCTGAGGGGGTTTGTGGGATGGGGGGATTCTGGGTAACCAGGGATGGGAGCTGCCTCACCCCTGCTCACTCACCTGTCATAGCTACCACAGAGAGGGGGCCCACGCGCTGCCCATCATGTAGCCCATAGAAGTTCATCTTGTATTTGTACGCAGGCTCCAGGCCGGGGATGCTGACCTCCCTGAGGCTGCCCTCCACAGGGACCACCTGGGGCTGCCCGTCCCTGTCTTTGTACTGGACCACGAAGGAGTCGAATTCACCCTCGGGGACTGTCCATGTGAGGCCCACAGAGTTGGGGGTCACATCTGTCACTGTCAGCTCTCCCAGGCGTGGCTCCAGGGGCGGCTCTATGGCTGGAGTCTCTTCTGGTTGCGGAGCTGAGACAGAGATGGTGGGAGGCCGTTAGGAAAAGCCCCCTTCCCTTGTTAGTAACTATGTCTGTTGTTTTTGTGGTGCCCACGAGGTGGTTCCGATGTAAAACTACACTGATGGGCAACATCTCTCTGGCCACAAGCCCTCACTAAGTGTCTGCCAGGACTGGGGGCTGTGCTGGGGTTGGGGATGGGTGTCACTGAGACCCTGGGAAAGTGGCTGACCGTCCATCTGTAGATCAATGGTCCCCTCCTCCAGGACCTGCAGACTCGTGCTTGCCTGGCATCTTCCTTGGGTGCCTGGTCTGTGGCTCAAACTCATGAAGTTCAAAATCGAGCTCAGGGACTCCCCCGACACCTGCTCCGTCACGGCCTCCCCACCTCAGCAAAGCCACCACTTCACCCTGGGTGTCGTCCCCGAGTCCCCTCACACCCTACATCTAGCCCATGAGTAAGGACTGTTGGCACGACCTTCAGAAGCTGACCCCCCCTCGCCAGCTCCACTCCACTGGAGCCATCTCCAAGCACCACCCATCTCCCTGGACTACATGGGTCTCCTAAATCCTCCCCGTCCTCCCCACCCCCTCCGATCCACCGTGAATGCATTAGTCAGAGCCTGCTCCCCCAAGGACTTCCACCTCACTCAGGGCAAAAGCCAGGTCCTTACAGGGGCCTCTGAGGCCCCACATGATCATCTCCCACATAGCTCCCCCCACTGCAGACATTCCTGGCTTGTGCACAGAGGGTCGGGGCACTTTCCTCTGCCCGGATATTCTTCCCGAAGGCACACGTGCCTTGTTCTGTCCCTCCTCGGGTCTTCCCTCAGAGAGGCCCTTTCTTGCGTCCTTCCCACCCATTCACCGTCTCACCTGCTGGACTTTGCTTTTCTCCAGGTCTCGTTGTTACAGATGGTTCCACAGACAGATTTGTGCGGTCTGCTAGAAGTGTGCTCCCTGGGGAGGGGCTTTGCCTTGCTCGCTGCTGTGTCCCTGGCACCCAGCACACGGCGGGTGCCCCACAAACGGTTGTTCAATTAATGAGTGGTCTGCATGACTGGGCTGGGAAAGTCCCAGCTCGGGCCCCGGTGGGCCCCACCACCCAACTCAGCTAAGTCTGGGGGGCAACTCCTCACCCAGCTCGGGCCCCGGTGGGCCCTACCGCCCAACTCAGTTAAGTCTGGGGGGCACTCCTCAATAGTGACCAAACTTGGAAGGCGGTCCCAAGAAGTAAGACAGTGGCGGAGGTGGCTGGGTGGGTGTGGCTCCCAAGAGCTGTTTTCTCTGGCTTCTGTGGGAGCATAAGACCAGGCTAGACAGACGAAACCCTGTTTGGGAGGCCTCAGAAAGACAGACCTGAGTCAGAGGGGAGGGCAGGGATGAAGGCGGCTGAGGGGGGCTAGGGGAGGCCGCCATGTCATCAAGTGTCTACGAGGGACCAGGTAGCAGGCCCGGCAGTGTCCCATGCTCCTTCTAGCTCTGCTCACTCTTGTCTCATCCACTTCCTGCTCACTTCCGCCCTCTCCGCACTTCTTCCCATGAGGAAGAGAAACTGTCCCTCACCATCCAACAAACCTCATTGTTGGGGCTTGGCTTAACTGGAAAACGTGGAGTTATCACTACCCCCGAACATGGCGCTATCCATGCTGCATTTGACGTAATCTTTCTCTACTTTAGAAATGTTTCTCACTGGCTGTATCCACCTCTTCCTGGCAATGGGAGAGTACGTGCTGCGGGCCGGGAACAGCCCCTGGGGCACTCAGCGGGCTCCAGCTACCCACCACCTGCCTGCTCTGACAATGAACATCATGCTCCATCCTGAAGCTGAGAACTAGGGAAGCCACAAACAGAACTCAGTCTGTCAAATGCCCAACTCCATTTTCCATTACTGTACTGCCTCAGTCTGTGCCCAACACAGTCCATTCCTCCCTGGGGACCAGGGACAGGACCTCACAGAGCCCAGTGTGGCTGCCTGGGACAGACAGCAGATGGAGGGACACCCTAAGAGAAACCTTGGCAGCATGTGCGGGCTTGGCACGAGCCTCCACCCTGCTACTTCGGGCCCGCAGGACAGTAACCCGGGGTGGCTTTCTCCTCTCCCTACTCTCAGTACTAATGGAGGAACAGAAAGAAATTAGGAGTAGAAGGTTCTGGAAACTAAGCCAGCCATGAGGTTGGGCTTTGTGGAAGTACAGGAACCATGCTCTGAAAACCTGTTTCTCTGCTTTTAAGTTTTTAATCTTTCCCCTTATAGTAAAAGGTGTGTCTTTGAGCGAAGGGAAAAGAGACGCCCCTTGCTGTGACCAAGCTGGGCAGGTCAGCAGGAGAGTCCCAAGTCCCAGAGGCCTGTCTCGGTTCTGGCCCCTGGTGCTGAGGCTCTGCAGAGGAGATCCCCGGGCTGGGTCCTTTGTGGTGCCAGATGGCCCCATACATGGGCCCAAGAGAGGGGATGGAAGGGATGTCCCTCTTTGCTATAAAGTCACTCACGGGATGAGCGGTAAAGAAACTTCCCAGCTACACTGCTGAAGAGGCTGATGTCTCATGCACTTCTGATCAGCTGAGCCCCAGCTGAGGAACCAGCCAAACGGGAGCAGAGCAGACTCCAGACTAAGGACAATTATAATCATCCTGTGGCAACGCTGACAGCATGTGCCCTCTGTGCCTGACCCTTTCTTAGTGCTCCATGTCTGTTAACTCATTTAATCCTCACTACAGTTCTGCGGGATGGCTGTTACTATCCTCCTTTTACGCCCGAGGAAACAGAGGCACAGAAAGTTTAAAATCGCTCAGGTCACAAAGCTGGTTATAGCCTGGTCCCCAGGGAACTGTTCTTTCTGGGTCTCCCCCAAGCAGTGGGGGGGGCCTCATGCTACCACTACAGAAGGGAGAGCCATGGCCACGGGGAAGCTGGGGGTCACCGGTGGGAGGAAAAGGAAGCAGGTCCCCGCCCCCACTCACCGGTCACGCCCACGGTGGACACGGGGCCCACGCGCTGTCCCCTGTGCAGGCCGTACAGGTGCATCTTGTACTTGCGCCCCGGCTCCAGGCCCCCGACGGTGACCTCATTCTCGTCACCCCCGACACGCACCACCTGGGGCCGCCCGTCCCTGTCCTTGTACTGGACAGTGAAGGAGTCGAAGTGGCCCTGGGGGACGGTCCAGGAGAGGCTCAGCGAGTCTGGGGAGGATCCTGTGACCGTCAGCTCTCCCAGGAGGGGCTCCTCGGGGGCCTCCGTGCTGGGTTCTGTGGGGCTGGGGGTCTCCTCCACAACTTCCTGGGGGGCTGAGAGAAGACATGGGGGATACAGGCTTGTGGTGCTTTGTTAGTTAATTACGACAATAAAGTACATTCAGCAAATAAAGTCCTCAGGCTGCAGTCTTTGGAGTTCGGGGAGCCTTTGTATTAGCCGTTCAGTAACTCGTGGGCGAGAGCTGAGACAGGCCCCTGGCCCCTGTCACGTACTGCTGGCAGGACCGTATTGGCGGCTTCTGTCGGGGGCGGGGTCTCCCCTCACATCTGAGAAAGGAGCTAAGGTGGGAAGAGAGGAAGTTCTGAGGAGTTTTCTACCATGTCCATAGACAGGGCTGACCTCTAGAAATCGAGGGGGCAGTAAGGCCTCTTCCAGTCTGCCTTCCTCCCTTTCAGCTCCAGCAGCTCCCCAGGGTTTCTCAGTGGCCCCCACCCCACTTAGCAGGACACCAGACAGAAGGTGCCCTGGCTAAGGCCTCCCTGGGCAGCCCGGCCCCTCCTTCCTCTTCAGACAAGGATGGAGAAAGATGTGGGGGTGGAGGGGCTGGGAAGGGCTGCGCTCTTCCCTGGCTGCATCTAGAATCACAGCCCCGGGGGCACCCATCCACCGTCTGGCAACTCGGTCTTCGCTGAGGCTCGGAGGAGAAGGGAGACTGGCTTCTGTGACCCACTCTCTGGGGGTACTACTGGAGTACTCCTCAGGGGACAGAGACTGAGAGGGAGCAAGCAAGCGTGGGCAAGGTAGGGAGATGAGGACAAGGAAAGGACACCGGGAAGGGAGATAGTCAGGGGGAAATAGCAGCTCGCTCCTGAACAGTGGTCCTGATGTGCCAGGCACTGTTCTAAGCATGTCCGTTTGTACACTGACTGATTTAATTCTAATGACTCTGTGAAGCAGCTACCATTATCCTCATTGGACAGATGAGGAAGCTGAGGTTCAGAGAGGTTCAGTAACTTACACAAAGTCCCAAAGGTAGTAAATTGCAGAGCTAGGCTTAAAATCCAGGCAGTTGGATCCAGAGCCTGTGCTCCCAACCACAAGGCTACACAACCACAGAAATGGTGCTGACCAGGGGGAGCCTGGACGGGTGGAGGAATGAGGGGCGGTGGGAGGAATGAAATGGGGCCCTTTGCCCTGCTCCCAGTTGGCTAGGAGTCAGGGATTTGGGGGTCCAGGATGAGGCCTTTTCATGCCAGAAAGAAGCTGAGGGAAAAGAGGGACTCTTGTGCCTTGGGTCTGCGGGCTCTGAGCCGAGCAGCAATGGTGGGAGGGTGCGGGCAGCTGGTGGCGGAAGCCGGAAATGACAGCAGCCTCAGCCAGGCCGTGGTAGGGGAAGGAACACAGTGGCTGAGGATATCTGTGGGGAGGACGGCCCGGCGTGGAGGTGTTCCAGATGTTTGGAACGGGGAAAATGGGACCTGTTCTTGGAGATGGAGAAGCAGGGCTGAGAAAAAGGCCAGGGGCGGGTGGCTGGATGAGAGGTCCTGGGATGTGGAGAAGTAGAGGGTAGATGCTTGGTAGGCCTGGAGCCCAGAAGGAGAGGGTGGAGGGAGGTCTGAAGGAGCCCCTGGGCCAGGTCCTACTCAGAGGGAGGTCTGGGTGGCCTTGACTCACCTGTGGTGGCCACCACGGACACAGGTCCCACGCGCTGCCTGTCATGAAGCCCATAGAGGTTCATCTTATACTTCCGGTGGGACTCCAGGCCCGGGATGGTGACCTCGTTCTCATCCCCCGTGACGGGCACCGCCTGGGGCTGGCCCTGCGCATCCTTGTACTGGACCACGAAGGAGTCGAAGGAGCCCTGGGTCACGGTCCAGGACAGGCGCAGGGAGTCTGGGTTTGCCTGAGTCACCCACAGCTCCCCCAGCAGGGGCTGCACTGGGGCCTCTGGGTTGAGGGACTCCGCTGTCTGCTCCGAGGCTGTGAATAAGAGGATCCAGTGAGGGCTGTACTGGCAGCCCCAGATTGGGGTTCTGGGTTTGAATGGGCCATCATACTCGGGGGCCACTATTCAGTTAGCATCAATTAGGAGTGCTGACCTCCTGGGAAGTCTGGCACAGCCCAGGGTATGACACATCTTCTGGGCCTTGGGGAGCAGCTGAATGGGATGGAAGGGCCCTAGCAGTATGGGGGAGGCTGGCTCTCCCTCAGTCTGGGAGTGGGGCCAGGATTCGGAGTCAGCCATCACACTGGGAGGCCCCACCTGGTTCCTGGCTGAGGGCAAGTGTGGGGAAGGCTGGGAGGGGTCACATGGGGGCTTAGGTGGTTGCCACTTACCAGTGGTGCCATCGGCTGTGAGGGGGCCATGCTGCTTCTTGTTGGCCATCCCAAACAGAGTGAATCTGTACTTGTGGTTAGGCTCCAGCGAGGAGACAATGACTGAGCGCTCCGGCCCTTCCACGGGCATCGCTTGGGGCTGTCCATCCCTGTCCCTATACTGGAGTACGAAGGAGTCAAACTGGCCCTCAGGGACAGTCCAGGAGAGGTGCAGTGAGTCTGGGGTGGGATCTGTCACCCACAGCTTTCCGAGGCGGGGTTGAGTCGCTGGGCTGGGATCACTCTGAGGCACTGGGAAGAGGGGTAGAGAGAAAGGAGGAACACAGGTCAAAGGAAAAGGGGGACTCCATCTCCCACATAGGGATGTTGTGTGAGGCTGTGCATGCTGTTCACTGCACAAAGGTGCATGGCTGAGGGAGCACTGAGGGGCTGAAATGCAGCCACCCTCTGCTTGCCAAACTGTGTGCCCTGGCACAGAGCTATGCTCACCTAAGGAAGGGTGCCTTCTTCTAAAGGGCGCAGAAGCACTGTATGGACTAGTGTGGCCCTGACTCTGCAGCCTAGTGAGGCGCTTCGAAGAGAAGGGAGCCCAGCCAACTCTCTCTGTGTCTCCACAGCCAGGGAAGTCTCCCAGGGCGATCTCTACTGTTTCCAGGCCTAACTACGAGCTCGCTTCTCCTCCAAGAGAAGGAAGTACCATCTTTGGAGCTTTTGAATGCGGGAGAGCCTCCCACACCTGTGCTCAGGGGCGGGGGGGCACCTCCTTCTCTCCCACCCTGTACCACCAACACTTCACTCCCCACCACTGTGCCCCCCCCGGACCGGCATTTGCAGGAGCTCCTCCCCTTGGCCGCTAGCTCCCTCCAGCCTCCACCCTCCCTCCTTGCTCTCTAGTCTCAGCCCAGATTCCAGAAAGGGCCATCTACACTGGTTGTGGCCATGTCCTCACCTCCATCACCCTCTTGATCGAGCTCCACCCTCCACTGGCAGCTCTCACCCGGGCCAGCAGTGACCTCGCCACTGTTAAGTCCTGTGGACTCACTCGTACGGAATCTGACATGTCTGACCGCGCCCTTCATTTTGGCATCCAGGACACCACTCTCCCTGGCTGTGCCCCTCTCCGTGAGTCACCCCCTCGGGCTACCCTGATGCTCCTCTTCCTCTGCCCATGCCCTGACTGTTGGCTAGCGTCTCTGCTTCCTCCACACCCTCACCCTGGCTCCTGTCTCCCAGGTCCCCTCTTCAGGCCTTCTCTCTGCTCTCCAGACCTGGGAGGGCAGCAGTGATCACCTGTGGCCCCGCCATTTTCTGCTTAAGTGCCCTCCCCGTCTCCGTGCCTGGACTCTCCTCATCTATAAACGGGCACATCTCACGCGGCTGCTGCAGCCAGTAAGTGTGCTGACACCCTCAGAAAATCTTGTTAACAAGCGCTCCAAAGAGGTCTATCTAAGCGTCCCAAGCGGGGCCTGTTCCTCACCTCTGCTGTTCCTTGCCTCAGGGCACGGCACTGTCTGCTCTAGAAACAGGGGAGCGCCTGGGCCTCCTCATTGTCCTTCACCTGCCACATCCAGCCTCACTGCCTCCATCCCAGGCAGGCCAGCATCATTGCTTGCTGGCTCTTAACTCACTTCTCTAGCTACACTCTGCAGCAGCTCCAGTGTTATTTGTCAGGTAGGTATCAAATCATGTCATTCCCACTTACAACCCTCACATGAGCTCCAAGCTCCTCAGTCAGACACACACAAGCGCAGTCCCCTCAGCTCCCCAGGTGCCCTGCTCTCCATCCAGAGGGAACAGACAGATTCTCCTCCAGGGCCACGCTCGCTCCGGCCTCACTCTCCATGGCTCCCTCTGTCCGCACTGCCCTCCTCAATCTCTCTGCCTGACCCACCACTATTTTCCCTTCAGGATTCATCTCAGGCCCCACTGCCTCCAGGAAGCCTTCCTGGAGTTCCCAAAGCACTGGGAGGACCTCCTTCAAGACCATGCAGGGGGCAGGGGTAGGGGTTGGTGTGACTGTTCTCACTCACGGATCTTGGCTTCAGCCACCAGGGGGCCATGCCTCTTCTTGCCCAGGAGCCCATATAGCAGGAATTTGTACTTGCGGCCAAGGTCCAGGTTGGTGATGAGGGCTGAGCGCTGGGGTCCTTCCACAGGTACCACCTGGGGCCCATCCCTGTCCTTGTACTGGATCACGAAGGAGTCGAATTCGCCCTCGGGGACCGTCCAGTGCAGAAGCAGGGAGTTGGACGTCATGTCAGTGACTATCAGCTGGCCCAGGCGTGGCGGGGCCAAGGGCTTCCCAAGCTTTGCCCCATCCTTGTCTGGAATGTGGGGGCAAAAGTAAAGCAGGTGGACTCAACCATTGCCTCATCTCTGGTCTCCTTCCCTCTCCTCAGCCCACTGGGTCCCTCCTTCCTGGACAGCTCCGTTGCTCAAAGCCTCCCCTTCCTCCCCTCCCAGGCCTCTGTGAGCAGCCATCTCTGTTCTGCAGTGAGAGCTTTAGCCCTTCCCTTGTGCTGGCTTCCCCACGCCTCGCAAACAGCCCAGTCCCTCTCCACATCAAGAGCTTTGGGGGAGTTTCAGGTCCCCCCGGCTCTTCCTGAGTCAGAACCTCCTCACTGCTGCTCTGGAGCAGCTGAAGGCTCCTCCGCCCACGTGGACTTTTCTCTCCCTCGCTACCCGCTCTCCTAGCGCTGAGCCTGACCTGGAGTGGCCGGCAGAGCCGCTACCCGAGTCCCATAAAGAGGGCCCGGGAGGGAAATGGAGTGCCTCACGGGTTCCACCAACCTCACGCATCTCCGAAGCCCTGCTGGCTCGGAGCTCCCGATGCCAAGGCACCTCCATCCCCAGCAGAAACAAGGTGGTGGGACCATGCAGCGCTATCCACTGCAGGCCAGCCTCCCAGGGTGCGGGGCCACCGTCCTAGCCTGCCCAGGGAGGGGGTGGTGGGGCTGCGGGGAAGGGAAGGGGACGAGGGGGCTAAGAGTCAGTACCCTCAGGGCTAGAGGCCTTGCCACGCCTACCTGCAGAGATCTCCGAGTGCCCAGGAATTGGGGAGGACACAGGGCAAGGAAAGCCGCAGGTGGAAAGCCAGAAGCCTACGGCCCCCCTGACTCCCTGCCCCACCCTCTGACTTTTCTCCTCCCATCCTCTTTTCCCCTTCATTGTTCTAAGACTCCCTCCAATCCTCTTTCCTCTGAGCCTTCTACTCCAACCTTCTCTCTCCTTGTTTGCTCTTAGCACTGCAACCCAAACACCGGGCCCAACCCTTCCATCCCCACCCCACCTCTGAAGCCTGGATGGCCCAGCCCCTCCCCCACCCTCAGGACACTGAGCTGAGCAGAGTGCAGGCTATACCCATAATGCCTTGGTAGATGAGAGGGGCAGAGGGCACGCCCTCCGGGGGGACCCCGCGGAGTGACAGCTCATAGGGGGCTCCAGAAGGGGGTGAGGGCACCAGAGCCTGGCGGACGTCCCCTGGCAAGAGTTCCTCGTGCGCTCCCGGCCCCTCGTGCACCCGAAGGCGCAGCTGGAAGTGGGCAAACGTGTCAGGCTGAGCTGTCCAAGCGACGCGGAGCTTCCCTGTCTTGTCTCTGCCCAGCACCCTCAACTCTCCCAGCTCCTGGGGGCGCTGCTGCAGTTCGGGGGCCCGGGCCCCTTGAGTCGTGGAAGGGCCTGAGGGAGGAGGCTCATCGGTGGCCCCCAAGAGACCCGAGGGAGAGGACCCTGGGAAAGGGCAGGGTGAAAAAACAGGAGAGTCGAGAATGAGAGCAAGAAAGGAAATCCCAGCCTCCAGGTTCTGCCTTCTAGCCTCGAAGAGCCTACAGACCCGCCCTCTCTGCTCCTGAGTCTGCTCCCTGGGCCACCTCATCCTCCCAACAGTCTGCCCAGTCCTCCCAGCACCCCTGCCCACCACATTTCTGAACAGACAGGCCTGCGGGCAATAACCTAAAGAAATGAAGCTGGCCATCCCTCCCCTCACAAGGCTCCTATGACCTCCAACCCCCACAGACTGCCGCGGCCCTCCCTAAGCACATCCCCCCCCCCACCCCGTGGTCGTGACTTCCATTAGTGCCGCGGGTGAGAAGCCTGGAAGAAAGGGGGAGAGGTGCTGTTAGGGAAGGCAGATGCGAGGGAAGAGTGGGTAGTGAAGAGAGAGGGAAGAGAGAGAGTGTATGTGTGGGTACATCCAGCTCAGGTGGCATCTGGGCCCTAGGGGGGGAAGAACAGGTCCCCAGCCCTCCCCAGGGCAGCCAGAGAGCACCCCTCCCCCGAGCCCAGCATCGCTCCTGTGGAAGAGACAAGCATGAAGTGGTTTCATCTCTCACAGACACAAGCTGCCTGACGGCTTCAAGGCCACCCCCACACAGTTCTGATGTGTCCCTTTGAGGTCAAGGCCAAATTGTGGAAAAGAGTAACCACTGACCACAGCCTTCAGCCACCCTCACCGCAGTGAGTCAGAGTGGGGAAGTGACGGTGTCACTCGGCTGCCCCACTCACACTGCTCCAGTGAGTTTTTGTAGACCCGCTTCTCCCCCCAAATGCTCCTTCCGTTGCCCAGGACGGCAATCCTGGCAAAGTGTCCGGGGAACCCTAAAGACCGGCTTTGTGGTGGGGTCCCCTGGAGGCTGGACCGGGTAGTGCTTGAAGGCCGAGGGGCGTGGCGGGGGTGGGGTGGCGGGCTGAGCAGTGAGGCGGTGGGCGGAACTCTTGGATGCGGACTCCAGCGGCAGGCGAGGCTGGGCAGGGGATGGGTGGTCCCGCGGCCCCAGCCCATGCTACCTGTGGTGGTGATGAAGGCGTAGGACTTGGAGGTCTGCCCTGCCCGCACCCCGTGGACCTCCACGTGGTAGGTGGTGCCGGGCCTGAGGTCAGGTAGGCTGACGGTGCGCGTGGTGCCGGGCACGGTCAGCTCCCCGCCGGGGCCCTCTGCCGGCGGCTGGGGCCGCCAGCGCAGCACCACGCGCTCGAAGTGGCCGCGGAGCCCGTCAAGGGACACGAGTAGTGCGCCGTCGGCGGAACTGCCCAGCACCTCGGGCTTGGGGTGGCGGGGCGCGGCCACCCGGTCGACGCCTTCGGGCGAGAGGCCGTGGATGCCCTGGTTGGAGTCCCGCTTCCAGGTGCCCGGGTCGGGGCTGGCGGTCGGGTGGGGGCGACGGGGCGATGGGGCAGGGGAGCCGACGGGGGCGGCAGCCGCCCGGCGCCGCTGCAAGTATTCGTGGATGTGGCGCGCCACCGACGCGTAGGTCTGGTTGGCCCGCAGGGGGTAGCCATGAGCCCTCAGGTGGCGCTCCAGGTCTTGCACGGTGCCGCGGAAGCGGCCCAGCTCGCCCGTCAGGTTGCCCCACGCCCGCCGAGGGGGCTGCGGCAGGCTAGGCCCAGGCTGAGGCTCCTCCTCCCCCTCCTCGGCGGGCCGGGAGGGCCGAGCCGGGCGCGCGGGGCGCGGGGGCCGCTGGGCCGGAGCCGGCCGGGGACGGGGTTGGGGGGGCGGGGCGGGGGGGCGCACCTCCGGGTAACTGTAGTGGCCTGGTGCTGCCGGGGGCAAAAGAGGGGGGAAGGGGGAGAGCAGGTCAGTGGCAGCCCCCCCCCCCCCCGCGCCCCTGCGCTCCTCCCCACGGCAGCCCCGCCCTCGGTCCCTCCCGCCGGAGCCAGAGGCCTCTTGCCTGTGCCCCAGCCCCACCTGGAAAGAGAACCAGAGAAAGGAGTCAGTGTCCCAGGAGCCCCTCCCCGCTCGCCCTCCAAGCCCGCCACTGTTGGAACCCTAAAAAGGAGAGAGAAGCCAGCAGGTGGGGCCCTGTGTCTGAAGGAGAGAAAGGGGAGTGGGAGGAGAGAATGTGAGCTACTGCGAGGTGGGCGTCCCCCTGTCACAGGAAAAGAAAATAAATATCCATCTGTTAAGAGACCTTGAGGATTAGTGGAAAATCACTGCTCTGAGACCTGACTCCCCCAAACCCCAATCTACAGTCCACAGGACTGCTGGTGTCTGATCTACCTAATTCCAGTCCCTACCAGGGCTGACCACTGGCTGTGAGCACGGGGCTGTCCCCGTGCCTGTTCCAAGCACCGCCCCATCTGGGTGGGTCAGACAGCCTCTCCTATTTACCCCCTCTCTCCAGGGGGCAGCTCCTCCGGTGGTCCAACCTGCAGGCTTCCCCCAGGACTCCAGCCCCCCAGGGCTCTGTCTTCCCAGGGCCGCGGTTGCACAGCAAGGCCCCAGCAGGTGCTTTACCACACACCCTGCCAAGGTGCATTCAGAGGAGCCTGGGAACCCTAGACATGGGCTCCCAAGGAAGGGGCTGCTACACAAAGAAACCTGGCCCTTTGCTAAGCCCTGGCCAGCCATACCTGTGTTGGCCCTGACAGAAGCCGGATAGCTTACTGCCCGGCCCTGCTCTGCCGTGACGGTCACTACATATTCCACGCCTGGCATCAGGTCGGTCAGCACCGTCCCGTCCGCCTCAGAGGGCACCTCCAGCCGCACCCTCTGGTTGCCGGCGCTGACATAGGACACCACGAACTGGTCCACCTCAGCCTGGGGTCGCAGCCAGCTGAGCTCCAGTGTGGTTGGTGTCACAGCCACCACTCGGAGGTCTTGTGGGCCATCGATCACTAGCCAGGTTAGAGAGAAGAGGGATCAGGTGGGAGTCTGGTCCTTCAGTCACCAGCTTTCCCTCTAAGAGCTTTGTCCCCACCCCAGCCCTCACTTCTGCCTTCCCAGCCACCCCCCTCAAATCCAGCTCTCCAACCAGGACCCTGCCCACAGCCCCAGCTCTCACTGGTGGTGATGGTCTTGGAGGCAGGAGGGCCCCAGCTAGTCCCTCGAAGGGCGCGGACCGTGACCTGGTACTCCTGCCCGGGTGCCAGTCCTCTCTGGTCATAGGCTGAGGCAGAGCTGGGTACCCGTGCTGTGAATGGGGGGCTCACCCCCTCTGTCTGCAAGAAAGAGAGCGCCAAGTGGATCAGGGCTGGTGCTCTCACCCCCGCTGCTCAGTCTCCCTTATCTCTTCTTTCTCCAGTTCCAGGCACTGCCCACATGGAACTGCGTAGAGCTTGGAGTACAGCTGGAGGGTATGGCTGGTGGCAGCAGACATGTCTAAGAGGTCTAGTCTGTACCAGACGCCGGTCAAGGCAACTTACATATATGAACTCACTTAATCCTCCAAAGAACCTTAGGAGGGAGGTCATGTTATTCCCATTGGACAGATGAAGAAACCGAGGTACAAGGTCACCAACACCAAGAATGGGGCAGCGATTCCAACCCCCCAGGCCGTGTGACCTCACAGCCCCCTCTCACAGGAACTACCTTTTTAGCTGGTTCATCAGCTCTCTGCCAGAATCTACCCAGCACACGGCAGGATCCTCCCTCTGGCTTTCCCCAGGCAACCCTGCCTACCCTGCCTCCCAAGCTCACTCCTGTCATAAGGGATGAAGTAACTGAGGGACGCACCTTCCCAGTCTCACTCCTTCCTTACAGCAGCTGCCCCGGCCTAAGCCTCCCCACAGACACCTGCCCCTGGCTGGGTAATGTGGCTGTGACTCTTGTCTTGACATTTCCCTTTAGGCACTTTTCTTGTCTCCTGAGCACGGCTGTAGGCCCCTCAAAAACAAAGCCTATCTGCTCTAAGCTTCACAGAGATGTTTCCCGGTTTCGTACATGGTATCATGCTGGGCGTGAGGAAAGATATGTCTCCTGTCCTCAGCTCATGTTCTAGTAGCTAAATGTATGGCCACATCTTAAGGTGAATTGGATCCCTACCCAAATCTCTCGCCGTACGTGCCTGTGAGCAAACAACCCCCTTCCAAGTGCACATTGAAAGTATTATGATTATCCGTGGTGACCCCAGAGGAACTAGGCCAGTCTTGGCAGGGTCTCCTTGGAGGGCCCGCCACTGGGGAAACAGCAGGAATGGACATCTATGAGCAGTCTGACTGCCCCCACTGTCGCTGGCCTGTCTAGCTAGGACAGCTAATAAGGACGCTCTGTTCTGCTTAGCTATGTTGGCCGTGATGGGGACACCTCCATTCAGCCAAGTAGGATTGGAAATTTCAAAAGGTACTCTCCTAAACCAAGAAAATTGTGGGGAAATCAACACAGTAAATACCAAACTATAAAACCAGATGAGAGGCCACGTGGAGATTTCTGGGTTGAGGATGAAATAAAGCTTTGTCAGAGTTTTGTTGGCCAGAAAGTTTTCCTGGGCACACAGGCCCCCCTCTTCATCTCCTACTCACCCCGCCCTAGGATACTCCAGCCTAGGAGCCCTTGGGTGGGCCTCAGCTGAAGGCCTGTGAAGTCCTCATCCTTGCCAGAACTTTCTCTTTTTCCAATCCCCCCAACCCAACCTGACACACATACACACCTCCCCAACTCCCCCCAACCCCCCCCGCCACACCCCTTGGGTGCTCCCTGATGACGTCTGGTCCTTCCAGTGAGACAAGCCCATCTTGAGTTCCCCTTCTCCCTCAGACCACCTACATGAGCCTTTAAAACACCTCTTACTCCCTCCTAAGACCCATTTGGGAACAGCCCCCTCAAAGTCCCACATCTCTCATCTGTCTGGTCGGAGACAGGCTCTCTAGGCCGATGCTGGCACCCCTTGCTGATTGCTCGGCTGCTTCACTGATTGTCCTTGGCGAGTTTCTAACCCTGTTCTCCGTACCAACCTCATGGCTCTGGGGGGCGGGGGGCACCATCTTGGTTGGGCCCTGGAGCTTACCTCCCCAACCTCCCCCTTTCAGACCAGACCCAAACACAAACTTTTCTAAGGCCACGAGGTCTTGTGTCCCAGTGAAAACAGGGCATAGCCCAGGTTCTAGGCTGCAGAATATACCCGGACAAAGAGTGCCTGACCCTCCTCCTCTTCAAGGGCTCACCTCCCTCAGTTACTTCTTGCTTCCTCTCATATCCAGAGAGGAACTAGCTTTTGCAAAATAACAACATTCCTTGAGTTAGTGGTCCTCAGGCTTGGGGTACAACAGAATCCCCTGGAGGGCTTGTTATAGCGCAGGTTCCTGGGCTCCAGCTGCAGTAGATCTGAGGCTGGAGTCTGCCAGTCTGCCTGTGTAACAAGTTTCCAGGTGATGCTCATGCTGCAGGTCCAGGGAATACGGTTTGAGAACCACTGAGTCAGAGTAGCAATGCCACGTATACAGGGAGAAGGAGGAATGTTCCTCTTGCGTGTACTGAGGATCATTCCAGTGACTAGGTGTGTCCCTTTGCCAGGAACAGCAGAGCGCTGGGCTTTGAGACAGAAGTGCTTCTGGAAAAGGGAAGGGGGTAAAGGGGAGATAGGCTTCTAAGAAGATGGCAGTGCCAGAGGAGAGCCAGCTACCAATACACTCTGTGCCAAGCAGAGATGGACAGAGAGTGCTGGCTAGGGCAGGGGCCCAGCCATGGAAAGCTTAGAAAGCAGCTGGAGGGCCAGTAGCACAGGCTAATGTGCAGTCCAAGAGAGGTGTCTGGGGGCCAATTTTACAGGAGCCTTTTCCACACCCGGGTTCAAAGAGAACCCAGAATGTGACAGAGGCTCATAACCAGGGATGAGCTGAGCCGGGCAGAGGCCAGCTCGACCCCACCTGGCCCCTGATGAGGGAGGAAGCCTAGAGCTTCAGCTGGAACGACGCACCTCTTGAAAACACCCAACGGTGGCTTCATATTTACTAAGAGCAGAGGACCACGCTGCCTTGCAAGCTCTTTCTATCTCAAGTGTTTATTTTAATTCTTCTTTCCCTGAAGTTCTTAAGGAAGTTCCTTTTAAAAGTCCCATCCTCTCAAGATCAGAACTATGTCAATAATATACACACAGAAGAGAGTGGGAGAAACACTTAAAAATGTTAACAGTGCTTGTTTTAGTGTGAAGCAGCCAAGAATTATTTGTTTTTTTTCTCTAGTTGCCAAATTCTTGTCTTGTGATTAAATTATTTTTGTAACAAAAAACAATTTTTTTTTTTTTTTTTTAAACAGAAGGAAAAAACCCAAGCTATATGGGTTGTGCTGCAAAGTAGGAATTTCTGCCTCTGCTTCCCCCAGCCAGTGAGGAGAGACAGACCCTGGTAGGGGTCTGTTCTTGGGGCTCTAATAAGAAGACTTAGAATGACCAGGCCAATTAGGGTGGGGATGGCAGCCAGCACCTCTGAGCTGTCCCTTCTGTTCTAGAGCCCTCCTAGGGTTTAGGCCCTGGGAGTTATTTATTTTTCCAGAGTTTTGGAGATTAGGGTAAATGGCCTATTCACCCAGGGTGTTTGCATGAAGATGCAGGAAAACATGAGTTAGACAGTAGAAATGTCAAATGATTTGGAGCTGGGAGGCCAAACATCATAAAAGCCCAATCTGCATAAAAGGGGGTCTCTAGTGAGAGGCCACAAGGTTTTGTCCTTCAGGTGCCCCAAATATTTTGAGAGCAAGTTGGAAGGAGACAGAAAGAATGCTTTGCAGTGCACTGATGACACGGAGGCGGGAGAACCAGTTCACAGACTCAAATTATTGCAACAGCCTAGACAGCTTGGCCCAAACCAAAAAAGATAACACTGAACAGAGCCACATGCAAAGGCCTATATTTAGGCTAAAAAAGTGTATATAGTTGAATGTCATCTTTTTTCCTTCTTTCTCTTTTCCTTGTTTACATTTTCTAAAGTTTCTATACTGAGCCTACATGACTTTTATAATAAAAGTTATTTTAAAAACAAACAGGATCAAAACAGTTGACAGGGGGCACCTGGGTGGCTCAGTCGTTAAGCGTCTGCCTTCCGCTCAGGTCACGGTCCCAGGGTCCTGGGATCGAGCCCCACATTGGGCTCCCTGCTCGGCGGGAAGCCTGCTTCTCCCTCTCCCACTCCCCCTGCTTGTGTTCCCTCTCTCGCTGTCTCTCTCTCTCTCTGCCAAATAAATAAATAAAATCTTAAAAAAAACCCCAAAAACAGATGACAGTTTTTGTGACCACAAGTTAATATACATCAGCTCTGAGAAAATTGCCGGGCTATCCAGAGTTAGCCAGGAGAATTACGGGACTCCTCCCTGCCTTCACATTTTGGGGGCAAATGCAAAAACCACGAGGCACTAGAGGAGGGAACCCAGGAAGTGAAGGATTCAGAGAACACAGCCTTAGGGAAAAGGGGTGAAGAAACCAGGGGGTTTGGCCTGGAGAGAATGAAGACAGCGGTGATGGCTGATGTCTCCAAATACCTGAAAGCCTGTGGTGGAAGCTGCGGGGAAAGCAAAGGCAACATGCTGACGCTGGGCCAACGGATGGATGTAGAATGGGGCAGATTTAGGTTCAGCAACAACAGAAAGAACTACCGGTGATGACCAACAATGGACTGGACAGCCTCAGGAAGTCTTGAGCTCACTGTCACCAGAGGTAGTCCCAGCAGCAGTGACCTGAGGCTTCAGAGGCCTTCTGGACCCAGTGTGGGGTAGGATGAGAAGGCCTTTATGGCAGCTTCAGGAACCTAGCCAGTGTGGACTCAACCACTGACTACCTGGAACTCCCTGCTTGAGGCGAGCACTCCCTCCCCTGAGTCGCACCCCCTCAGCCCCCTCAGCCCCTTCCTGCAGCTCAGCTCTCACCGTGGGAATGAACTGAATTTCATAGGCATCCACCGTGCCAGGAGCCCGGGTCCACTCTGTCCGAACCGTTGTCTCCTCCAAGAGGTGCATCCTCATGCCCTCAATGGCTGGCACCTCTGCCCAGGAGAATGAGATATGGGAAGGTGGTTAGTCCGAGGCAGCCCCCCACCCCCTACCCCTATCATCAAAGGCCCCCCTACTCAGAGCCACACCCTAAGATCAATCTCTGTTCCCGCTTCTCTCTGGAGGTGGTGCAAAACTGGCAGAGGCCTGAACAGGCCCTGGGGGCTCCTTCACCTTCCCCCCTGCCCATCTCCAGAAACACAGAATCTCCCTAAAAGCAACTAAAGGAGGCGCCAACCTGCTCATCAGAAATCTGAAAGCGGGGCCTGCCTGCAAGCATGCCCCCCGTGGTTCTGCTGTCCCTGGTGGACACCTGCCCTCGGCTCCTACGACTGCCCCCCCCCCCCCCCCCAATAATTGACCTCCTTCACTCTTCCCCCAGGTCCCTGGGCTCCTAGGCCTCAAGCTCAGGCCTTCCCACTGGCTCTGGTTCCCAGTCCCTGAACCTGCGTGCTCACCTTCCCCGCAGTCTTCCCCTGCATAACCATCTTGACAGACGCAGCTGCCCTCACGACACTCTCCCCTGCCACGGCAGTCCCCAGGGCACGTCTGAGTGGCGCAGTCGGGTCCTCGAAAGCCCTCCACGCATACACACTGGCCCGCGCGGCACAGTTCCCGGGGCCCACAGCCCCCAGGGCAGGCGCTGGCGGGAGGCTCTTCCCGCCCACAGTCCTCGCCGCCGTAGCCCACGTGGCACACGCACACGCCCTGCACACAGCGCCCGCGGCCCCGGCAGTCGGCCGGGCAGGTGCGGGTGGCGCAGGAGGGGCCGGTGTAGCCTGAGTCACACACGCAGCGCCCGCCCTCACAGCGGCCGCGCTGGTGGCAGTTGGAAGGGCAGGTACGGAGGCCGCAGTCCTCGCCTGCGTAGCCCTCCCAACAGGTGCACACGCCGTTCTGGCACACGCCGTGCTGGCTGCAGTCTAGCGGGCACCGCCTTACGCTGCAGTCCTCGCCCGAGTAGCCATCGTCACACACGCAGCGCCCGTCCCGGCACTGGCCGCGCCCGTGGCAACCTCCCGGGCAGCTGCGCGCGCCACAGTCCTCTCCCTCGTAGCCCGCGTTGCACACGCACACGCCATCCTCGCAGCGCCCGCGCCCGCGGCAGTCCCCAGGGCACCGACGGCTCCCGCAGTCCTCGCCCGCGAAGCCGGGGTTGCACACGCAGCGGCCGTCCACGCAGCGCCCTTGCCCACGACAGTCGCCAGGGCAGGCGCGCGTGCCGCAGTCCCGGCCTGTGTACCCGGGCCAACACACGCAGCGACCACTCTCGCAACGGCCCCGGCCCCGACAGTCCCCGGGACAGCTGCGCACGCCGCAGTCCTCGCCGCTGTAGCCCACGTTGCACACGCACACGCCGTTCTCGCAGCGCCCGCGGCCCCGACAGTCGCGGGGGCAGGCGCGCGAGCCACAGTCGGGCCCCGTGTACCCGGGCCAGCACACGCAGCGCCCGTCCTCGCAGCGCCCCCTCTGGCTGCAGTCCCCTGGGCAGCTGCGCACTCCGCAATCGTCCCCGCTGTAGCCTGCGTCGCAGATGCACTCGCCATCCTCGCAGCGCCCGCGGCCCCGGCAGTCTCGCGGGCACGTGCGGGTGCTGCAGTCGTCGCCCGCGTACCCGGGCCAGCACACGCAGCGGCCGTCCACGCAGCGCCCGCCCTCGCCACAGTCCCACCGGCAGCTCCGCGAGCCGCAGTCTTCGCCCGCGTAGCCGGGGTCGCACACGCAGCGCCCGTCCTCGCAGCGCCCCCTCTGGCTGCAGCCCCGGGGGCAGCTCCTCACCCCGCAGTCGTCTCC